AGCTTCATGGGAGCGGAGCGGCTGGAGTAGGCCGGCCGGTGGTGTCAATGTTCCACCTTGACTCCTCCTCGGAGAGATCGGATCATGTGGGAGGAGAAGAGGGGAGTGCCGCTCTTCTTGAACTCGGCCTCATCGGCGTCGAGCATGCCATCGAGCCAAGGCAGAAGCTTCTTGCTGAATAGGGGGGTCAGCGGGAGGGGTGCCAAAATGCCTAGAGGTAGAGCAGGTCTCGCAACTTACGCGCAGTGGTCGGTGTGGAGAACGACGGGGACGCCGTAGATGGGAGCGATGGCACGAATGTAGTGAGCGGCCGCAACGGCACCGGCGACGGAAGCCTCCTGCTTCTCAGCGCTGTTGGTGACGCCCTTGCCGGCGAAGAAGGCAGCACCGCCCTGGGAGCTGTGTTTTGTTAGCTAGGCTGCAAAGTGAAGCGCCGAGGATTCGGTTCAGACGTACAACTGCAGGATGACAGGCGACTTGGAGTCGCGGGCGGCCTCGAGGGTAGCGACAACGGTGGAAGAGGAGGTCTGCGAGGTTGGCGGGGTAAGCGAATGCACAAACAGCGTCAGGACGAAGCACGGGACGACAGCAACATACAACGTTGACGGCGGGCATGGCAAAACCCTTCTCCTTGGCGTAGGTGAAGAGCTTTAGGACATCATCGCCGTAGATGACGCCGGGCTTGAGGTTAAGATCCTGGAGGACACCCATGTTGATGGTGGATGGCGGGGTAGCTGGTGGAGGGGTAGGATGCGAAGGTGTTGGGAGAGAGGAATTGATTCTTCAAGAGGGTGATCAAGAAGAATTCGGTTTGCTGATGAGTCCCAAAAAAAAGGATATATGGAAGAAATTGGATTGTGAGGTGTAGAAAGGGAGGAGGGAAATTCAAGTCGAGGATGATAGAAGCACCACTAATGGACAAGATATTTGCAGCGCGCCATGTCCGCCGGCCGGCCCTTCTGGTGCTCGACCGCCCCTCCCACTCGCTCCGTCCCTCCTTGTTGGGTTTCCAAGGTGCGTCACGTTACGAAGAGCTACCTGTCGTGCCAACCCACGCCGCGGGCACCCAATTGCATCGCGCCGTGCTCCCACCCAGACACACACCAGAGGCATTTCCTCAGCCAAGTCCAGCCCGTGTCGAGGCGGGGTCGGAGGGCGAGCTGAGGCACGAGCACCAAAGTGACGAACGAGTGAAGTCTCACCCCACCAAAGTGTTGAGGGGCAGGTACAAAGTGAGACGCCCGAATGGGGCCAGTCAGAGCCACCACCCTCTGATCCGACTCCGGGCGTACCCGTACGGTTCACCCCCACTTGACGTCAACCCGCCAATTTCGCCCGTTTGTTTCCTTTTCCACTGCCCGAACAGCTACAGGCCCTGTCGTTGCCAGGCAGCCCCCCCCCCCCTAGGAAACCCCGCTTCTTCACCAAAGCTCCCACTGCTCGGTAAACGCCACCCGTGCCATCATCCCCCTCTCACCTGCCCACAGGGGCCTGCCGGCCTGTCGGAACAATGGGGCTTTTTTAACCTGACTCGTGAGATGAAGAAATTTCCTTGGGCACAGTCAGGTGAGGGAGAAATGCGAAAAAGAAAAAAG